AGAATTGAAAGAAAAAATCAGTTGCTTATAGCTTTTTAGGCTTTCTTACCTGATGTGATGTGAATGCAAAATGATCTGTTATCTGAATTGGAAATTTCTTAGTTTAGTGATTTCCATGACTGTTCCCTCTCTTCCAGGGGGATTGAACCTAGGACCACTCTGCCACTGAGCTGCATCTCTAGTAGTTGAGGGTGGGGGTCAAGGTTTCACTAAATTGCCCAGGCTGGGCTTGAACATGTAATCTTCCTGCCTCAGTTCCCAACTAGCTGGGATTACAGGCTTGTGTCACTTTGTCCAGTGTGACTTGCTTTTTTTTTTTTTGGTTTAAAAAAAAATTAGATTTTATCTCCTTTGCTTAGTGAGTCATCAGTATTTTAAAAAGCATATAGTCTTTATCAGTAGGAATTCTTTTAACTTTAACTCATCAGAACTGAAAAGACCTGGGCTGGGGATTTAGCTCAGTGGTGGTACCTCCTGCTTCGCAAGCACAAGGTCCTGGTCCAAAGTCCCAGTACCAAAAAAAAAAAAAAGAAAAAACCTAAAACTGAAAAGACCTGTTGCCTTATTGCTAGCTAGAATACAGTTCTAAAGTATTTGTGTAAGTACTTATATCTATATATAAAGTGGAGGATTTATATTATATGTAAGCATAAATACCTATACATAAATTTATACTTATTTATAAGTTCTAATTTTGATGTTAAATGTGGAGTTGTGGATGACTTAAACATACATTACCCTTTCAATGAAGTCAGCTATAGTATTTCAAATGTGTTCATTATAATAGTGGTTGCCAGTGAGTTACAGGTGAAGAGGTTATAAATTTAGTTCCCTGTGGTATTTGCCACTTACCCTGGTGTTTTTTGTTTTGTTTTGTTTTGGTTTGGTTTTTTGGTACCAGGGGTCGTATTTTCATTTGATGTGTTACAACTGTTTTTTCTTCTTTTCTGTACTTTGTGTAATTTTAGGATTTTTGTAAACATTAAATCTTTAGAAGTTATCAAATCTTGTTTTGCTCTATCAGCAGGGAACATTAATATTAAACAATGTACTAAACTATACCAATTTATAAATATTTCAAAATTAAGAGCTTAATATACTAAACCTTGGGTCAGGGATTTAGCTCAGTGGTGCCATGCCTGCCTGGCAAGCATAAGATCCTGAGTTCGATTCCCAGTACCAAAGAAATTTATATATATATATCTATCTCATATATATTCACACATACATACGCACATATACATTACAAAATGTATAACTTTCTGTGATTTGTAATTGAATTTATATGAATGAATTAATATTTCCTTTTTCGGAAATGTTGCTTAAATTGATAAATTTAAGTTTAATAACACATTCATAAATTTTTTAAAGCATAGATGTTTGTTAGAACCAATTTTTCATTTCTGGATTTTTTTATATAATTCATTTTGTGTCCTTCATTGTGGGGATGAGCAAAATTTTTCTATAAAAGGCCAGCAAGTAAATACTTTTGGCTTTGTAGGCCTCTCTATTACAATTATTCAACTTTACTTTAAAAGCAGCCATAGATAATACATAAATAATATTTTCCTTAATGAAAACAGACAGTGAGCAGAATTGACCTGTGGGCTACAGTTTGCTGACCCCAACTGTATTGGAATCTGAAAATCATCTTTCTACTCTCCCCTCTTCCTTCTTCTTACTCCTTTCTTACCTCTTCATTATTGTTTAACCCTTTTTACAAAGGATTAAAAACTGAGCTACTAATTTGTCAAAGTCACACAGCTAATAATGGTTATGGTAGGATGTGGGCCCACGTACCATCAGCTATAGAAACCATACTCGACGTTTTATTATATCAGCTTGCTTTTATAATCATTTAATACAGGTGAATGTTGGATAATATAGTGAATGGTGGATATAAATATTATGCAGTTATAAGTATGTGGTATGATTAAAAAAACCCTGTGAACGTTTGAATTTTTAAAAAACTTATTACACTAAAAGATATATTGCCATAAGTTCTCCTCAAAATACTCCTTGTTTGAAACAGTTGTCCCTTCATTATTGGTACTCACTGAAACAGTTCTGAAAGTCCTCTTTCATAAGTTTCTTTTTTATTTATTTATTTTTGGTTTTTTGAGACAGGCTCTCACTATGTAGTTGAGAGTGACCTGGAACTCACTATGTAGCCCAGGCTGGTCTCAAAATAACAGAGATCCTCCTGCCTCAGCCTCCTGAGTGCTGGGATTATAGGCGTGCGCCACAATGCCCAGCCATTAGTTTCTTTAGTTGTGCTATTATGGCTGCCTTGATGCGGTAAATCTGAATTGAGTCAAAACATCTCCCTTTATGGTCATTTTGACTTTGGGGAAGAACTATAGTGTATTGCTAGATCTGTTATGTGAGGTAATTGAGAACACACACTGTAATATTTTTACCAGCCTGACTGTCTGTTAGAATGTGCTCACAGGATCTTCACCATGTTTTTGATCATGCCTTTTGAAGACATGAACGAGGACTTACAGAATTGCTTCAGAAAGTGGAAAGAATGATGGGACTTAGGTGTTCAAAGGAGGAGGAGTATTTTGAAGGCGAGTGGTGGCAGTGTGTTATTTATTTATTTATTTATTGGTACTGGGGATCAAATACAGGACCTCGTCCCTACAAGGCAGGTATAGTGCCACTGAGCTAAATATCCGGCCCAGTGGTGGCATATACCTATAATCCCAGATACTTAGGGGGCTGAGGCAGGAAGTTTAAAAGTTTGAGGTTAGCCTGGACAACTTAATGAGACCCTGATTCAAAATTTAAAAAATAAAAATAAAAAGGAATAGGAATGTGCTTCAGTGTGAAGATCTTGTGTTCAATACCCAATATTGCAAAACAAAACAAAAAAGATATAAAAGGAAGTCATATTAATATATATTGATGTATAATCACAATGTAATTAAAGATAGATATCTAAGTCAGAAGGCGTAAGTGCATAAACAAAATAATATAGGACATTTTTAACATTATATCTTAGACTAAACTCATACAAAAGAAACTGCTGATACACATTAAAATGTTATATATATTGCTGTATACCCTCTAGCATGGTTATACAAATGTATACTTTTAATAATAACTCATTAAAATGCCTTTTCAGCCAGCTGTGGTGACACACATGTAATCCCAACTCTCTGGAAGTTTCGGCAGAAAGAACACAACAGCCTGGGCAACTTGGCAACTTAGCAACTTAGTGAGATCCTGTTGTAAAATATAAAAACAGGACTAGTGAGGTAGCTCAGTGTGAAGACCCTGAATTTAATCCCAAGTTATTCCTTCTCACAAGCCCCCTACCCAGCACACACAAAGGCTTCTCATTCATACCCTTATCAATCATCCTTGAGTATTAATTCTTTTACTTTAAACCTTTTCTTTTAATCATTTGTAATTTTTCCTTTGCATACTGTTTGAGTCCTTTTTTGATTTTGTTTGTTTGTTTGTTCGGTTGGTTTTTTGTTTTGGTACCAGAGATTGAGCTCTGGCCCTTGCACTTAGAAGGCAGACAGCAGAACCATTGAGCCAAATCCCTGGCCCCTCAAGTCTTTTTGGAGGGGGGCATTTGACTGGGAACCCAATCTTAGGGTTGCGAATATGCTTACTAAGCAAATGCATCACCCCTGACACACACTCACTCCCAGCCCTTTTTATTTATTTATTTTTATTTTGACACAGTCTTGCTAAGTTCCCCAGACTGGCCTAAAACTTGTGATCCTCTTCTCTCAGCCTCCCTAGTTGCTGAGATTGCAGATATGAGGTACCACTTCTGGCTTTGAGCACTTTTTTTAATATGCTGTTTTCTATATCTTATGAACCTGTGTTACGTGTAGACTATTGACTTTTTTTTTTTTTTGTAATAGTATGAAGTATTTAGAACAGAAGAGGAGGAAAAAATAAAATCTCAGGGACAGGATGTTACATCATCAGTGTATTTCATGAAGCAAACCATCAGCAATGCGTGTGGCACGATTGGATTGATCCATGCTATTGCGAACAATAAAGACAAGATGCACTTTGGTAAATGACTACTACTGTTTTTTCCCCTTAAGATCTGTTAACTTCATTGAGCAGTAGAGGGTGCTCCAGTTCTTTTTTCAAACTATAAAATAAAGCATTTCTATCTTTCTTTTGTAATGGGCCTTCACATTGAGCTACATCCCCGGCCCTATATTTATATTTTATTTTAAAACAGGATCTCACTGAGTTGCTAAGTTTGTAATGGGAATATATAACTAATCCTTGCCATTCTTGTTTATGGTTGATAAACAAGGCTCACAAAATGAACATATAACTTAAACTAATATTTAGATCAAGATTTTTATATTCCTAACTTACTGGTGATAGGCTGTTTCCCAGAAAAGAGCATATTTCTGTGATTTCTATTTATCAGTTTCTGATATGAAGCTTTTTCAGTTGTATCTTTTTTGTTATTCTCAGAATCTGGATCAACCTTGAAAAAATTCCTGGAGGAGTCTGTGTCAATGAGCCCTGAAGAACGAGCCAGATACTTGGAGAACTATGATGTCTGTACCTTCTTATTTTTAATCTAATTATGGGGAACATTTTATGAATTGTAGAGTCTTTGGTGGGGTTGAAACTGGTTTTGAGAAATTATGGATTTTTACCATATCCATTAAGAAAGGTATTTTCTACCTTTCTTTTAACTGAAGTATCTGTGAATGTTGATAAATTGCTACTTTTCTGTTTCCAAAGCTGAATGAGCTAAGAAAAAGCTTGCAAATTAAGAAAACATGTTATGATTGACTATTCCTTACCATTTACTCTCTATCATAAATATAGGCCTGGTGGGCTAGGGTTTAGCTCAGTGGTGCCGCTGCCTGCCTTGCAAGCGCAAGGTCCTATGTTAGATCTCCAGTACCAATAAATGAATGAGTGAATGAATGCATGGCAGTATCCTGTGTGTCTTTCACTGGAAATTTGGAAAAAGACCAAAAATTGAAGAAAGAAAAAGGTTAAAGGCAACATTACACCATACTCTATTTCAATAGTATAATAGCCAGGTTATATAATTTAGTTTTAGTTGATTGCATCACTTCATTGAGCTGTTTTAAAATATTTTTTTAAATTTACTGTCTTAAAAATTGAGGCCAGGCATGGTAGTGCGTGGCACTACCTGGCACTCGGGAGGCTGAGACAGGAGAATCACTGTGAGTTCAAGGACAGCCTGGGCTCCATAAAGAGTTTAAGGCCAGCCTGAACTATACAGTGAGACCCTGTCTCAAAAAAAAAAAAAAAAAAAAATTTTTTTTCCTTTTCAGGACTTTTTTGCCTTTTGTTATCTAAATTATAAATTCTTTGAAATTGGACACAGTCCGTGTGCAAATTATTTAGCTAGAACAATGCCTGTGCTGAATTTGTGTGTAGTAAGTTAATTGATTTGCTCATTTTTTTAGCATTCCAGTATACTTTGTTTTAAATCTAAAAACCTGGAGCCGGGTGTGGTGGTGCATGCCTGTAATCCCAGCACTCAGGAGGCTGAGGCAGGAGGATTTCTGTGACTTTGAGACCAGCCTGGGCTCCATAGTGAGTTCCAGGTCAGTCTCAACTACATAGTGAGACCCTGTCTCAAAAAAACAAAAAACAAAAAAATAAAAACCTGGAAATGTAGTACTACTCAGCCATAAAAAAAATGGGAAATTAGAGACATTTATAGCTAAATGGATACACATTGAGGTGATGGTCTTACGTGAAATAAATAGGACACGTGTATATACCAAATATAGTCTAAGGACTAAGGGTATAATAGATAATGTGAAATAGGAATAAAGGGGGCACAGGGGAAAGGGAAATGGGTAGGGTAGGAGAAAGGAAAGAAGGGAATGGAATTAATATGAAAAAATGAAAACATCTTTGCAGATAGGGATGGAGGGGTGTTAGGCAGGGCAGGGGAATGTAAAAATAAGAATCAAGATAGATTATGTAAATGTGCACATTTCCAATGATGGATGTCACTATATTGTATACTTTAAATGTACCAATAAAATTAATTTTGAAAATAAATTAATTAAAAACCTGGAAATTTATAAAACATCTTTGTTTTATGTTAATAAAAAAAAAGCAACATGAAAGTTACCAGTAATTCCAACAATAAGGAGGTAGCTACCATTAATATTTTTATAGGGTATGTGTATATTTTTATACACAGTATTTTTATATAAAAATTTGATCACACTGTAATACTGTTGTAACTTGTTTTTTTCACTTACTATACACGTATTACCAGTAAGTATATATTTGACATTATCATTTAATGGCTCCAAGCTTGCCATTATATACTGTTTTATTTAATCAATAAAATAGTTAGAAATTTAATACTTTTCCCTTTTTTTAAATATTTTAAAAATATTATAAGGAGGGCCAGGGATTTAGCTCAGTGGTACATCATTAACTAAATCTTTGTAAATATCCTAAATTATATATAGTTTTAGTTATATATAGTTATATGTAGTTTATAAATATATAAACTCCTAATGGAGAAATTGCTAGATTAAACAGTTTGCATGTTTTTAAAGCTTTGATACTTCCAAATAACCATTCATAAATATACTTTTACCTGTAATTTACTGTCATACTCATTTCTGTGCTTCTTTGCTCAAGTGTGTTGCAAGAGCATTTTTTTTAAGTTCAGGGAAAAAAATTCTCTAGCTTCTGGTAAATGCTTGCTTTTTGCCCACATTCCTAAATTGCTGACTAAAATTCATGAATAAGCATAAATACAGCCAGAGCTGCAGAGCAGCATGGAACTTGGAGAGACAGATGAGATAAGTTTCTCAGTCTCTATCTGTGAGAAGCTCACTTTATTCTACTCTCAAGTGAATAAAACATTAAGTGTTAGTTCTAACAACTAAATAAGTTAAATGACCTCTATTTCTACCATGGACTTTACAAATAGGTATGCTCCAAGTGTTCAGAGATTTGTAGGTTAAAAAGTGCAGCAGTTCGTTTGATTATATCGGTATCTGCTGTATCTAATATTAAACTATTCTTAAATTTACTCCATTTTGTTGTTTCTTTTTTTTTTTTCAGCTTTAATTGAGTTTATTGGTACATTTTAGTAATACAGTACAGTTACATTCATTGTTGGGATCTTGTACCTCTACATGACAAGTCTTGATTCTCATGTTGTTTCTTTATAAGTCTTTAGATTTTAAAATTTAGCTTTTTGTTATTTTTATTTAAAAAGTTGGATATGGTCATTTTTTTTGCTACAATTTCCTTGTATTCTTTTACAGGCTATTCGAGTTACTCATGAGACCAGTGCCCATGAAGGTCAGACTGAGGTATTTAACATTTTAAAAATTTTTCTCTTGCAATTTGTAAATTTAACTATAGTATTATTGTAGGATGTGTAGTTTTACAAAATTACTTGATAATTTTTTCTTTAAGAGAATTTGCTTATAAAAAAGGTCACACAACAGTAGCTCAAGAAATGCTTTTACAAGCTGTTAACATGCTACTTTGATATCTGTCTCTTCAGTTTATCTAATTATTTAGACAGTTTGGAGTCTGTGTGCTCTATACTTTGGCTGACAGGTAGCCTGCTTCTTCTCTGTCATTTCTTTGACTTCAATGTATTTTGAGAAAAAATATCTGTGCATTTAGACAATCTGTCTGTGATGATCTTTGCCATCATTACACTATTAGCTAGTTCTGCTACTTTGCTTCTCCTTTCTTCTTGCCTCCCTTTTAATTTTGTTTCTCTCATTCTCTCTTTCCATTTCTTCCTTTTCTTTTCTCTAACTCACACTAAACCACTCTTGAAAGAATTTTGTCAGAAAATGTTTTAGTCAAAATAGAATTAAAACCATTTGGTGTATTTATAGCACATTGAAGTGTTAACAGAGGAGAATTCTAGTTTTTCTTCTTTCTTATTCGGTACAAATAAACCACACTTTCTCGTGTGCAGGATAACATTGCCTTTGTGCTTTAAACATACTTGAAAAGTTAGCTGGTTTTAAAATAATGGTTTTAAACACACTATCTGTGAGAAATGGGTTTTTTGTTATTGTTGTTTGGTTTTGTTTTCTTTGGCATTACCGGCAAACAAGCTCAGGACCTTGCACTTGCCAGGCAAGTATGGCGCCACTGAACTACCTCCCCCACCCTTTGAGAAATATTTTTAAAGGAGAAAATAGTTTGATACTATGATATAAATACAGTTATTCTTAGATCAAGCTAGATAATTGGAAGTTTATAAAACCATATAGAAATTGAAATATTAATTCTCCCAGTAATTATATCATACCTTCGTGGTGGCTCAGGTGCTGCTTTCAAACAGTGGAATACTGGTTTTTCACTAAGGTTGTTTTTTGTTTTGGTACAAGGGGATTGAACTCAGAACCTTGTGCTTGCAAGGCAGGCAGAGTGCCACTGAGCTAAATCAAAGTTTATACATGCAAACAGACATAAGTGGGAGGTTAGAAATTCATGAAATATTCTTTTTTTGTTTTGCTTTTTGTGATTGTAAAATAAGTTTGTGTTGAAACTTTATAATGTTAAAATTTTATGATAAGAAATCAATATAGGATTATTGTTAGATATGATCAAATACTTGTTATAAAGCAATTAATACCTATATGCATATTTATTTCACAAATGTATCTTTATCTTACCTTCTTTTGCCTTGCTTTTGGAGCTTCATCAAAAGTACAGCTTTAACTGCCCTTTTTTTGGGTGATGTTCACGTCTTTTTACAGATTTAAACTTTCTTATTCTTTACAATCTTGACTGCTCCTTAGATATCACCTGAATACTCACCAACATTTTAGAATGCAGTTATTCATATTTAAGCTTTATTGTCTTGTGTTGTAAACTTCTTGGTACCATTAGTTTTTCTTTTTCTTATAAATTGTTTCATACATTTTCCCCGCTATAGCTAATCAAATACAAAATTTATTTCACCTTATTTGGAAGATTAGCTTCATATATAAATTCTCTCTCTCTCTTTTTTTTTATACTGGGGATTGAACTCTGGTCCTTGCGCTTGCAAGACATGTGGCAAAACCACTGTGCTAAATCCCCAGCCCTAAAATCTCAGTCTTGATTCTAGCTCTTACTCCTTTTTTATTGGATGAGTTTGGATTACTTTTCTTGAAATGTAACTCAGTTGGTTACTCAAATTTTCTAGAGCTTTCTGACTGTAGTCATTATCAGTGGATGAAGTAGAAGTAAGGATTTTTATAGGACTTTTTCAAACTTTACTCACTCAGAAGTTAATCTCTTCTGCTCCTTTCTCTTACCTTACAGTTTCAATTACTAATAGAATGAGCCATGTTTTTTATATAGCCCTAAAATGTAGTACTGGGTTGAAAAAAAAAAGTATTTGAAAAACATTCTTCAAGCCTATGCTCAATTTCAGCCTCTTTAGCCTAGCTGCATTCAGGATTCTCCTAACTGTGGTCATTTTTTTTTCTTTGTAAATATCTCTTTCTAACAATCCCTTATTTTACTATTGCTTTTCTTTACTTCTGTTTTTTTTTTTTTTTTTTTTTTTTTTTTTTGGGGTATTTTTTTTTTTTTTTTTTTTTTTTTTTTTGGTACTGGGGATCGAGCTTGGTTCCTTGAGCTTGCAAGGCAGGCAGTGGAACCACTGAGCTAAATCCCCAGCCCTGCTCTTCTTTACTTCTGTAGTTCCCTCTTTCTGAAAATATTTCTCCATTCAGTCTCTACACTTTTGATTTCTACACTTCAAATCTCACCTGAGTATTACCTTCTGTATGAAGTGATTATCAGACCTGAATATATTTTATCATTCTTATATGAGCTTTTTAATGTAACTTCATTATCTATTTGCATTTTAGCTATTTTTATATACTTTGCTATCTATGTATCTGTTAGTCTTTCTTTTCACAAATTAACAACCTTGAAATCAAGATGTCTTAAAATTGATGTCATACTTTGCTTGGTGTTACTCTCGTCATAGTGATACATAAAATGGTGATTTTTATCTGAACATTGCTGGAGCTTGATCAAATATGATATCATGTGGCATCATATCTTCTTACTGTTGTTCTTACATCTAGAATCGATGTCTGATTCATTTGTACATATTCTGCATTATTCCATGCCATTCTCTGCATATAGGCACAATTCATATTTATTAATTCACCAAAATTAAGTCAAAATCATCCTCAGTGGTATAAGAAGTTTTTTTAAAGTTCTAATTCTTAGTTTCTCTGTAATCCCCTGAATAAACAAAACATATCTCTTAGCCATTGTCTCCCCCCACCACAGTTGAACTCAGGACCTTGTACCTGCCAGGCAGGCACGGCACCACTGAGCTAAATACCCAGCCCTATGATCTATTTCTAATACAGTCATGCTGGAAATTATGGATTCAACATTGGAATTTTAGAGGAAAACACTTCAGCTCATAACACTGTCTTTGTGCTTCTTCACAAAGCAGTAGCCTCCTCTTTGTGGAGTTGGCATCTTCTCTAATCTTTAATCTTGTGAAAGTATCTCACCTTCAAAGTCATTTTTCAGGGAAGCCTTTCAACATCATTGCTACACCTTGTCTTATTTTCTCTCATAAAACCATATTTTTCCCTAATATTTTAAAATAATCCATAATATGCTTTTTTGGTTATTCTGCTCATATATAACACATAAGACCCATGAGAAAATGGACCCTTTTTGTCAGATTCCTTTGGATCCCCAGGACAATCCTGGACATATGTAGACTTCAGTAAGAAACTATATAGTGTGAAGGTAAATACAGGATGTAGGTTTTTGTACTGGCTCTACCACTTATTAGCTTAGACCTCCGTGTAAAATAGAGTTAATATTATCAGCCTAATGAGATTGCTATGAGGGCTAGTGAGTTAGCATATCTTAAATTGCTTAAAATACATCTATTTCTAATGGGTATTCAATAAATATAAATACTAATTTTATTTTATTAGGCATTGAGAAAAGTGAATCTGAATGGCAGGAGAGAAGGAAGCCAGATCAAGGGAAGCCTGTATTTTATAAACAGCGTAGAGCTACTAGAGACAGTGTGTTTAGTTTTTAGCATATTGAATTTAAGGTGAGTCTGTGAGTTTAGAAGTCAGAAGCTTAGAGGAGATCACTGTAGTCTTTTGTGTTTTAGTAGTGCATTTGTGTTTAATAGTATTTTAGTTCAGTAGATGGAGAACAGTGGTGAATCAATAATAAATACCAACAGTAAATCCCTGGACTTCTAGGTGTTGAAGGAATGGTAGAGAAGAGAAGCCAGTAATCATACAGTACAGTAGTGATTTCAGTCATCACTGACATCATTGGTTTTTTTGTCAGAACATTTTCATGGGAATGGAGGAGGCAGGAACCTTATTGCATGCTGAGATTTGTAGACTAAATGAGAAATCATTTGAATCACCAAAACACAGTAGTCTTTTCAGAAGATTGGCAGTGGTGTGCTGCTAAAGAGTTGTTTGCTTATATGCTTTTTCTCATTTTGTCATCCCACTGTCATTATCTGGCAGACATTGGCTAATGAAGAAATTTAAGCAGTAGGCTCACCTCACTTATGCTTCATTAGCTTATACTTAGAGGTATTGCTTTTATTTTTTCAACTAAGCTTGGAAAAATGAAAGAACAGCAATGAGATATGAGGAAATGATGAGAAAATTAATGATCAGTGGAGGAGAGAGTTCTTTTTCTTTGATTTTTACTTGGTACGATCATTTTGTACTCTATTCTAGATAGTAAGAATAAAAGAATATTATTGGATTTGCTTCTTAATAATACTGTTGAGGTGCTTGATATTATGTGTTATTTAATACCTATAGCTGCCTTATGAAATTTAAGTATTACTATTCTCTGTCTTTTATTTATGAAGCAGTTGAGGTATAGAATGATTCATCTGCTTGCTCCAAAGCTATATGCCTGCTAAGTGACAGAGTCAGAATTTGAGCTCAGGTGTTCCAGCTGCATTGTCCGATTACATTTCCTCTTACTTCCTCATGCCTACTTCCAAGTAGACACTTTCAGTAAAAGTTTAACAAGTTGATTATGTGGCATTTCTGTTAAGGCTAGTGCTTTGTAAAAGTGGCAGTTTTTATCCTAGCTTGGGATAGGGAGCAGATTTTGTGAAAAATAGCTTTTTAGTTCATCTTGAATTTTTCATCTCTCTGAAGTGGTTTCATGATATGATTTCAAATTACTCTTTTAGAAAAATTAATGAGATTGTATTAAGCCAAGCTTTCCATCAACTAAGATGTTGAGCCACATGTATAGTGATGTGTGACTCTACCACATATAATCGAATGTTTTAATGGAAAAATATCACTGATTTTGA